GGAGGGTAACTCCATTTTAATGATCATGGGGGGGATGGAAAACAACCCCATCTTAATGGCCATGGATTTGAAATGGGGTGTCTAACAAGCCGATTACAGGTGTGATGGTCAGGTGTCTCTAGTAAACGGTACTGTAATATAACATCATATGAAGATAGTGTAAACAATTGTGCTCTTCCAGGCTTGAGGTAACAGTTTGGTGAAGATATTTTCCTGTTCCAGCATGACTGTAACCCTGTGTACAAAGCCAGCTCCATAAAGACATGGTTTGACTAGTTTGGTGTGGAGGAACTTGAGTGTCCTGCACAAAAAACGTTTGACCTCAACCCTACTGAACACCTTGAGAAGAAATTGAGCACCAATTCTGAACTAGGTCTTCTCATCTGACATCAATACTTGACCTTCCAAATTGGAACAAATTCCCACAGACACGTTTGGGAAAGCCTTCCCAGAAGAGTGGAGGATGTTATAGCTACAAAAAGTGACCAACTCCATATTAATGGCCATGGGGTGATGGAGGGCAACTCCACAATAATGGCCATGATGGTGGGGGGACTGTGTTAGGAGCGTGGCAGAGCAACCCTAAATTAATGACCATGGATTTGAAATGGGGTGTCCAACAGGCTGATGCAGGTGTGATGGTCATGCGTCTTCAGTGAAGGGTAATGTTAATACTACATCATATAAAGACATTGAAGACAATTGTGCTTCCAGCCATGTGGTAACAGTTTTTGGGAATGCCCAAGTGATCCAGTATGCCTGTCCTGTGTACAAAGCCAGCTTCGTAAAAACATGGTTTAACCAGTTTGTTGTGGAAGAACCAGAGTGTCCTGCACAGAGCCCTGACATCAACCCTACTGAACACCTATGGGATGAACTGGAACACCAACTGTGAACCAGGTCTTCTCATCACACATTAGTACTTCACCTCACACATGGGAACAAATTCCCGCAGACACTCCAAAATCTTGTAGAAAGCCTTCCCAAAAGATTGGAAGATGTTATAGCCACACAGGGAGGCCTGGGGGGGGGGGGGGGGGGGGTGGAGGACAACTTCATATTAATGGCTAGTGGGGGGAGGATGGAGGGCAACTCCATATTAATGGCTAGTGGGGAGGATGGAGGGCAACTCCATATTAATGGCTAGTGGGGAAGATGGAGGGCAACTCCATATTAATGGCTAGTGGGGAAGATGGAGGGCAACTCCATATTAATGGCTAGTGGGGAGGATGGAGGGCAACTCCATATTAAACCATGGATTTGTAATGTGAAGGTGTGACGGTCAGGTGTCTGCAGCGAAGGGTATTGTTAATACTACAGCATGCAAAGATATTTTAGACATTAGTGCTCTTCCAGCCTTGTGGTAACAGTTTGGTGAAGACCCTTCTCTGTCCCAGCATGGCTGTGCCCCCTGTGTACAAAGCCAGCTCCATAAAGACATGGTTTGGCCAGTTTGGCATGAAGGAACATATGGTGTAATGCTCTTTTGGGAACTTCAGCTTTGTGTATAGGGGAGGTATTTTCATGTGTTTGATGTCAAGTTCAGCAGATTCCATTAACTCAGTGGAGCAGTATGAATGACATTTCTGAGGCTGCATTTGACCTACTTGGTATTTCTTTGGTGAACGGAGAAGATCCTATTAAAATCCATTTGTATTACAGACAATGCGGGCCAAACAGCCCTTTGTTGCGACTTGTTATTAAACATTATTGAACATTACAGCAGCGCTCTGATCAAATGCAAAAACTAGTGTTTGACAACAACCACCCTCCTACATGTCTAATAAAGAAGACTGAAAGAATCATTCTCTTTGGCCATGGGGAGGGCCACTTCTGGTACTCTGGCCAACACTTTTGATTTACGTTTTGGATATAGTGGCGGGAAGGGTCAGAACCCCGGTTTGTACCATGCTGTGTCCCACTGGGGAACCCTTTCTCAAGCTATCAAAAAGAAAAAAAAAAGGAAAAATTTCAGTTGAAATAAAAAAACTATTACTATTTTGCAAATGTCAATCAAACTTTAACGTGCTCCTATTATTCGATAACTGTACTGTATGTGGGGGGAGGATGCTGGTTGCTGACTGTGCCCAAGACTGATGACAGTATTTTTCATCACAGATTAGAATCATGCATGCTCTAAACAAGAGTCAGAATTCATCTTTCTACTCTCTTTCAGGTTAGAGGCTCAAAAAGCATTGAGGCCAAAGAATCACAATGACAGCAAGGGAAGGAAGGAGGCCCAGAGGAATGGGACAGGGGAATGGAAGAGGGATGGGAGGAGGAAGGGACAAGGGAAGAGGAAATTGAAGGATGAAAAGACAGAAGGGAAGAGGGAAGGGACAAGAAAAGGGGAAATGGAAAAAGACAAGGAAAGGGGAAATGGAAAAAGACAAGGAAAGGGGAAATGGAAGGAGGAAGGGACAGGGGAACAGAAGAGGGAAGGGAAAATTGAAGACGGAAGGGACGAGAACAGAAGACGGAAGGGAAGAAGAAGGGAAAAAGGAAGGGGAAATTAAAGATGGAAGGGACGGGGGAACAGAAGTGGGAAGGGAAGAGGAAGGGATAGGAGAACCGAAGAGGAAGGGAAAAGGGAAGGGGAAATGACAAACTGATGACAGTATTTTTCATCACAGATTAGAATCATGCATGCTCTAAACAAGAGTCAGAATTCATCTTTCTACTCTCTTTCAGGTGAGAGGCTCAAAAAGCATTGAGACCAAAGCATCACAATGACAGCAAGGGAAGGAAGAAGGGCAAGAGGAATGGGACAGGGGAAGGGAAGAGGGATGGGAAGAGGAAGGGACAGGGGAATGGAAGAGGGATAGGAAGAGGAAGGAACAAGTGAATGGAAGAGGGATAGGAAGAGGAAGGAACAACGGAAGAGGAAATTGAAGGAGGAAAAGACAGGGGAACGAAAGAAGGAAGGGAAGAAGGAAGGGAAGAAGGAAGAAGGAAGGGAAGAGGAAGGGAGAAAGGAAGGAGGAAGGAATGAATGGAAGAGGAAAATGGGAAATGGAAGGGACAAGGAAAGGGGAAATGGAAGGAGGAACGGACAGGGGAACAGAAGAGGGAGGGGAAGAGGAAGGGACAAGGGAAGGGGAAATTGAAGACAGAAGGGACAGGGGAACAGAAGAGGGAAGGGAAGTGGAAGGGGAGATTGAAGATGGGAGGGACAGGGGAATGGAAGAGGGAAGAGGGAAGGGAAGAGAGAGGAGGGAAGGGAAAATTAAAGATGGATAGGACAGGGGAACAGAAGAGTGAAGGAAAGAGGAAGGGAAAAGGGAAGGGGAAATGGAAGGAGGAAGGGACAGGGGAATGGAAGGAGGAAGGAATGAATAAAAGAGAGATGGAAAGAGGAATGGAGAAAGAAAGGGGAAATGGAAGGAAGAAGGGACAGCAAAATGGAAAAGGATAATAGGGGAAAGAAAAGGGCAAGGGAGAAAAGAAAAGGGAAAAAAGGTAAAAGAAAAGGGGAAGGGGGGGGAAAGGAAAAGGAGGAAAGGGGAAGGGAGAAAGGAAAAGGGGAAGGGAGAAAGGAAAAGGGGAAGGGGGAAAGGAAAAGGGGAAGGGGGAAAGGGGGGGAAGGGGGAAAGGGGAAGGGGGAAAGGGGAAGGAAAAAAAGGGAAAGGGGGAAAGGAAAAGGGAAAGGGGGAAAGGAAAAGGGAAAGGGGGAAAGGAAAAGGGAAAGGGGGAAAGGAAAAGGGAAAGGGGGAAAGGAAAAGGTGGAAAGTAGCAGACAGGGAGATGGCACATGGAGAAGAGGGGAGGGACAGGGGACAGTGGACAGGGGAAGAGAGAAGGCACATAGGAAAAAGGAAGGGATAGGGGAAATGGGGAGGGAAGGAATAGGAGAAAAAGGAAGGGACAGAGGAAGGGGAAAGGGACAACAAGGAAACATCAGCATTCTAAGCAATGGCTGACTGCTTAATTCTCTTGTGACAGGTGCACTTAAGATGTGTAAGAACCAGAGGTCCCATCAGAACTTGTGAGAACTGTTAGCCTCAGAGAATCTTGGAAGCCACAATATAACCACAATATGAAAAATAACACATAAAATCACAGCTTGGATTATTTACTCAGACAGTAAAACAATTGCCAGAGTTCACCTTCCACTATGGTACTGAAAGACTGTTTTTGACTGTTTATTAAGCCCCAGCTTTTCAAATGTCTGCAATTAACTCTGGACGCACTGCTACAAGTCATAGAGTACATCTGTTTTAATCAGCAGGACAATTGCAACAGTGTATGTGTATATATATATATATATATATATATATATATATATATATATATATATATATATATATATATATATTCACAGTGAAATGACATGGAAGTGCTTGCGTAATCGACGGAAGCATGCGCACTGTGTGGCGCCAATCTCTCTCTCTCTCAATGGCAGTCGCATTTCCCCGCGGCAGGAAGGATTAGTGATCAGCTGTTTCGGTTAAGCTACCACTGAACTATTTGTACAGAGCAAGGTGCAGAGTCCTAAAAACAGCATTAAAACAAATAATTCAACAAAAAAAAAAAAAAAATTAGTCTACTAATTACATCACCAGCGGCTGACTCTGACTGGATAATATTTACTATCTGCATTTACAGAATAAAATTTCTCTCATTTAAAAATAATTCCATTTTTTTTTCTAAATCATTTTGAAAAGTCCGGTTTCTGGGTCTCTGTTTGTTTTTTTTGACAGCGGTACCTTTGTCGCTTTTATTAGTGCACTTTTTTCTCTAGTAAATTTTGGATAGTCTGGCAGAGTAGAGGGGTATCTGTGCAATGGTCCCCTGATGAAGTGGTGTTTTTTTTTATTATTATTTTACCCAACAAGTCCAGGAGGCAGAAAAAACTGCATTGTGTTATCCATCGGCGGAGCGGCACCACACCCAGACTCGTCAGGACCGATTCACAAGTGCTCAGATATCACAAAAAACTCCCGTCCCTGAAATCGCCCGGCCTCTCCTCTCTGTGTCCATTGTCTGTGGCATTTATGGGGTTATTGAGACGAAGCTTTGGTCGCCAAAGACGCCACGCAGTGCTGCTGGAAGCTGGTGGATACGGCAGAGTTACACGCTAGTCTCTGGCTTTGCAGCTTGACAGCTCCATTGGCGTCATTCTCCACCCCCCAGGGCTCTAGTCTAGCAGGGGTGCAGCACAGGCGATCTCCCAGGATCCCGCTGGTCTGCTCTGGCTGAGGTTTATTGGCATTCGGTTCCGGGCGCTGAAGGAGGGCAGTGATGTGGTTCAAAAGGTCCCCAAAAAACTCCGGAACGCCTTCGTATCCTGAAACACAGAAAGCACAGAGTCATCCTGTGACAATACATTTCACATTATTTAGGACTAAAAAGAACCTGTTGGGACATAAATTGGAGCTGCTATGACTTCACTGGCTACATACCTGCTACAGGTCAGTGATTTAAGTGGTTGTAAACCGCAGACATGAAATCTAAACAAAGCCTATCCCTCTATAGTGTGTGCTTGTCTCAGTCCAGAGCACCAAGGGACATTTCTCTCTGCTGCCCCCTTCCTCTGCTATCAGCATGAGTCACTTCTGACAGGTTTTCCTGACACCAAGGGAAAAGAAAGTGACAGGGGAGGGAGCTCCAGGGCACAGCCCGTGATTGACAGCCTCAGCTGTTCCTGTGTACTGTGTGAAGGGGGTGGGGTGTCCCTTCAGCTCTCAGAGCTCCGCAGCGTGCTGTGCAGTATGTTCAGCCGCCGACCCCTTGCTTCCTGAAAGCTCAGACAAGCTGTATAAATTCTGGACTTTGAACGGCTGCAGAGAAGAGATGACTGCAGATAAACAGGTACAACTTACAGTATTGTAGGAAGATTTGTTTAACCTCTTGGAGCCGGCCGAACGCGCAAATATGCGGCCTCACGGCGTCAGGGCCTAGATGCCTAGCGGCTGCACATTTGCGTTCTATTAGAAAAAAAAACATGTATGCTGAGAGTGAGCACCCTGCGCTCCCAGCACACACGTTCGGTACCCACGGAAGGGTCCCGATCTCCTCTTTAGATCAGGACCTTTCCCAATCATGTGACCGCCGTGACAGCGAATCATGGCGGTCACATGACCCTAAAACCTTGCCCCGCCTCCCGGCTTCTGAAACCCTTAAAGGACAGGGAGGCGCTGGCGCCAAGGGGTTAATCTCTGTGTATCACCTGAGGACAGTCACTTAACTGGGCATATGGAAGGATTTACCACCACTTTAACTTCTACCTGTCCAGCTCAGCTGCAAAGTTCCCCTATTGGTTGCCCCAGTGAAGAGTGGCCTTACTAACCAATAGGGAACCTCAGGAGGCAGGAAGAGATGGGTCCAAGCATGACACTGATTTTTTTTTTTTAATCCTTGTGCTGCTAGCATTAGTGAATAGATGGGAAAGTATATTATATTTACTTGTTTTAAAAAAAATATATATATTTTTTTTACATTTCTTCAATTACTTTCTGGTTTCCATGCCTAGGCAAATGATATCATACATCCCAGGAGTCTAGGAGAGGTTTTCCTAGCTAAGCACACCCTCCTGCCTGAGTTAAGGGTCGATGGATTCCAGGAAGTAAATGCTACCACCCTTATTCAAGATGGTCGCAGCCAGAAATGCTAGGGAGGGGGGGTTCAAAGTGATTTCTCAGCAAAATAAAGCATGGAGACATGGATGGATGGGGGGGGGGGGGGGTTGCTCTGATTATTAAAAATGAATGAGAAAGCATTTTTGGTTTGTGGTGCTCAGATTTGCAGTGTAGTTCCACTTTAAGCCCGCTATAATACAAGTTCCAAAAGTCAACTGGTTCAGCAGAAACTGCCCAGCTTTCAGTACATGTGCACCGCTGCCTGTTCAATGGTCGAATGGTCTGAAAAATCCGCATTTGATCAGCACTTGCAGCCATTGGCTCATGGAACAGTCATGCTTGTTTCACTACTTGCCTGTCCCAAAATATGGATGAAAGCTGAAACTATGACTTCACTGGCTACATACTTGCAACAGGTCAGTGATTAACGTCCAGTCTGAAGGGATCCCTTCAGACGAAGTCCGGAAGTGACGAAACACGTTAGGGGAGTGACGTCAAGACGCACGTACGTAGACCGAAAGTGTCGCCGCGGCCATTTTGTTGGTTTTCAACACATGGTTTTCTATGGTGTTTGATAGAAAAAGCTTGGAACGCTGTCTGGAGCTGATATTTTTAAATTTCAATGTAAGTGATGAATAAAAAGTTATCCCTATGCTTTGAATACTAGTCCTGAGACCCTTCTGACCTTCATTCTATGTGCGCCGCTGTCTCTTCAACAGAAGCCAGTCTAACAATTGGCTTCTGTCAGTCTTGTTCAGAAATCAGCCCTTACAGTCAATGGCTGCAAGGGCTGATCTGTGTATTCTGGCGGACAGAGTCCCTGTTGTCAGAATACAATAGCTCAGCAGGAAAGATATCCGCATCACACATCTTTGTATTGATGGGAGGACCTGTCAGTTCTTTTTCGGTTGAGCCCTGGATAAATGAAAAAGAAAAGCTGATTGCGTATTCCCAGTTTGACAGCAACAGTCAAGAATCGCAAACACCTTCAGCTGCTGATATGTCCGGATCCGGGAATCATTCTGAATGCGATTTACAGGGAAGAGGACGTCAGCTTTGTATACTTTTATCATTTACTCAGCTAGTGACAGGCTTGGTTTACAGAAGATCTCCAGTCAAAACAAAAACGATTTGATGCTTTCTGATCCTGAAATACAAAAGTCTGATAACACTATTCCCCTGTAAAGCCAATAAGGATTATCGCTGACCTCCTAAATCGCACACCAAGAATAGTTCGTTCCCATTTACTGTCCTACTTTAAGATCTGAGAGAGAGAGAGAGAGAGAAAGAGTAAGTGGGGAGAGAAGAGAGGAATATAGAGGGAGGAAGGAGAGAGGGAAGAAGGGGAGAGAGAAAGGAGGAATGAGGAGGAGGAGGAGAAGGGACGAATGAGGAGGCGGAGAAGGGAGGAAGATAAAGGAGAGAGGAAGGAGGAATGTGGAGGAAGAGGAGAAGGGAGGAACATGAAGGGGAGAGAGAGGGAGAGAGAGAGGAGGAAAGGAGAGAAGAGAGAGGGAGAGAGAGGGGGGGGGGAGGGGGGTGGGGAAGAGGAGGGAGGGAGGGGTTGGGAGAGAGAAGGAAGGGAGGGAGGGGAGGAAGAGTGATATAGAGAGAGGAAATAAGGAAAGAGAGAGAGAGAAAAAGGAAGGAAGAAAGGAAGAAAAAGGAAAGAAAGGAAGAAAGGAAGAAAGGAAAGAAAGGAAAGAAAGGAAAGGAAAAAGGAGGAAAGAAGGAAAGGAAAGGAAAAGAAAGGAGGAAAGAAGGAAAGGAAAGGAAAGAAAGGGAGGAAAAAGGAGGAAAGAAGGAAAGGAAAGGAGGAAAGGAGGAAAGGAAAAGGAAAGGAAAGGAAAAGGAAAAGGAGGAAAGGAAAGGAAAGGAAAGGAAAAGGAAAGAAAAAGAAAGAAAAATGAAAAGAAAGAAAAGAAAAAGAAAGAAAGAAAGAAGAAAGAAAGAGGAAAAGAAAGAAAGAAAAAGAAAGAAAGAATGGGAGAGAGTGAGAGAGAGGGGGGGGGAGCGGAGAGAGAGAGAGAGAGAGAGAGAGAGGGGGGGGGGGGGGGAGAGGAGGTAGAGAGAGAGGAAGAGAGGGAAAAGGAAGGAGAGTGAGAGATGAGAGGAAGGAGAAATGGAGAAATAGAGGGGAGAAGGAAAGATATATAGAGGAGAACAGAGAAGAGAAGATCAAATCAAATCATAGAGGAAGGAGAGAATGAGAGAAAGAGACAGAAGAAGAGAGGAAAGAGAGAAGAGTAGAGGAAAGAAGAGCAGGGAGGAAGGAGAAAGGAAGGAGAGAGAAAAGAAGAAAGGAGAGAGATGAGAGGAGGGAGAAATGGAAAGATATTGAAGAGAGGAAAAAACAGCAGAGAAGAAAATATCGAAATCAGATCATAGAGAAAAGAGAGAAAAAGAAAGGAAGAGGAAGAAGAGATGGAGAGATAGAGACGACTGATACAGAAGAGAGGAAAGAGAGGAGAGCAGAGGAAGGAGGTGAGACGAGAGGAAGGAGAGAGATAAAAGAAAGGGGGGGGAGATGTCAAAAAGGTGAGGGGGATGAGAGGAAGGAGAAACAAGAGAAAGGTGAGGCGAGGAAGGATGAGGACAATGAGAGGATGGAGAGATGGAGGACAGAATAGAGGAAAGAGAGAAAATAGAAGAGCAGAGAGGAAGGTGAGGGCGATGAGAATAAAGAGGGCAATGAGAGGAAGGTGGGGGGATGAGAGGAAGGTGAGGGCCATGAGAGGAAGGTGAGGGGACGAGAGGAAGGTGAGGGCGACGAGAGGTAAGGGAGGGCGACGAGGGGAGAGGTAGAGGGCGGGAGAGAGGGGAGGAAGGTGAGGGCGACGAGAGGAAGGTGAGGGGACGAGAGGAAGGTGAGGGCGACGAGAGGAAGGTGAGGGCGACGAGAGGAAGGGAGGGCGACGAGAGGGGTGAGGGCGACGAGAGGAAGGAGAGGGAAGAAAGAGGAAGGTGAGGGCGACGAGAGGAAGGTGAGGGCGACGAGAGGAAGGTTGAGGGCGAGGAGGGGTGAGGGGGTGAGGAAGGTGAGGGCGACGAGAGGAAGGTGAGGGCGAGAGAGGAAGGTGAGGGCGACGAGAGGAAGGTGAGGGGGGAGAGGAAGGTGAGGGCCATGAGAGGAAGGTGAGGGCGAAGAGAAGGAGGAGGAAGGTGGGGAATGACGAGAGGAAGGTGAGGGCCATGAGAGGAAGGTGGTTGGGCCATGAGAGGAAGAAGGAGGGCGATGAGAGGAAGGTGAGGGCGATGGAAAGGAAGGATGAGTGAATGGTGGAACGAGAGGAAGATGAGGGCCATGAGAGGAAGGTGAAGGTGAAGAGAAAAAGGTGAGGGCGATGAGAGGAGGAAGGGAGGGTGATGAGAAGAGGTGAGGGCGATGAGAAGAAGGTGAGGGGATGAGAAGAAGGTGAGGGCGATGAGGGAAGGGGGAGGGAGAAGGATGAGAGAAAGAAGGAAAGAGGGGAAAGAGAAAGGAAGGAGAGGGCAATGAGAGGAAGGAGAGGGCAATGAGAGGAAGGATGAGGGGCGATGAGAGGAAGAAGAGAGGGCGATGAGAGGAAGAAAGGAGGGGCGATGAGAGGGAAGAAGAGAGGAGAAGGGGGGGATGAGAGGAGAGAAGAGAGGGGATGAGAGGAAGGAGAGGGGGATGAGAGGAGAGAAGAAGGGGCGATGAGAGAGGAAGGAGAGGGCGATGAAAGGAAGGAGAGGGAGATGAAAGGAAGGATGAGAGGGTGATGAGAGGAAGGAAAGAGGGGGATGAGAAGGAAGGAGAAAGGGCGATGAGAAGGAAGGAGAAAGGACGGAAGGAGAGGAAGGAGAGGAGGGCGATGAGGAAGGAAGGTGAGAGGGGATGAGAGGAAGGAGAGGGGCAATGAGAGGAAGGGGAGAAGGCAATGAGAGGAAGGAGGGTGAGCGGGGAGAGGAAGGAGAAGGAGAATGAGAGGAAGGAATGAAGGAAGGAAGGAAGGAGAGGGCGAGGAAAGGAAGGAAGAGGAGAGGGGCGAGGAGGAAGGAAGGAAGGAGGAAGGAAGGAGAGGGCGATGAGAGGAAGGAGAGAGGGCGATGAGAGGAAGGAGGGAGAGCGATGAGAGGAAGGAGGGAGAGCGAGGAGGGGAGAGGAAAAAGAGAGATGGAAAAAAAAAATCAGAGAGAAGATATAAAGAAGATAAAGAAGGGAGGAAGGAGAGGGATGAAAGGAAGGAAAGAGAGAGGGAGACATGCCACAGGCAATGGGGGAAATGAGAAATTCTGGACCCCCCCAACCTGGATTCACCTCCTTTTCAGTATATAGTCTAGGACTATATCCCTCCACCCCATCCTCCCATAAAAACTCCTTAATTGCTTTGGCAATGCTACCATGTATCTGATCCTGCCAATACAGCCTATTTATCAACAGAAGGAAGATAAAAGTAAAACTGCAATATAAATATAAGAAAGAACTCTAACGTGTGTATGCGCCGGTCTGTGTCTTCAACGAGCAGAAATGTCAGCTGTTCTGAAGGATCGGCGCATAGTTTTGAAGGTGAGAGCGTTGATCATTCTGTATTTCATCCGCTCGTCCTAGAACTACTCCCATCATTTTAATCAGCTGGGAGTTCTCTGCCCGGGACAATGCCCATTCCCGGCCTCATGCTGATAACAGGAGTGGATATTCATCGCTGACCCCGGCTACAACTGTGAACTTTAAAACCGACAATTAGAACAGATGGGGTTTGCTGCATATTTATGCCGGAGAGAGAACAGCTCATGGTTATGCAGTCTCATCTCTGCACGTCGGATGAGAAGAAGCCGAGGCCTCTTCATATTAATACCAGGATGTCATTAACACGGACGGAACATGCTGCAGCTGCTGCATTCATTGTACTTACCCGCACTGTGTCCTGGAGATCAGATAACAGGTACACAGGAGAAAAGGTCACACTCAAAGCTATAGGGAGCCACCCATATAGAACCGGTAAGTGCTATAGGCGGCTGGAGCCATATAGTAAGGTTGTCGTGCTACAAAACCTGAATTGACATTTTAATGTAATGTCAGGGCGAAAAAAAAATAAACTTTTTTGATTCAGCCCTTTCAATGTTGAAAGAACAGAATAATACCCGGTGATCTGCAAAAAATCCAGCAAGGTCCTACCTTCCTGTAGGGAGCTGACAACGTTGCTTCTGCTGCACTGAAATCTCAGGCGTTGTTGTCAGCCCCACCCAGTTCTCCCTTGCTGGACTACAGAAAACCTCCAGCTTATGTTATGGAGGCGAGGATGAGGTGTGGGGAAGCAGTTATGTAGTCCAACATTCATTTTTCTTTCTTTCTTTATTTTCGGTACTTATATAGCACCATTAATTTGCGCAGCGCGCTTTGCATATATATCGTACATTCACATCAGTCCCTAACCCTCAAGGAGCGTACAATCTAAGGTCCCTAACCCTCAAGGGGCGTACAATCTAAGGTCCCTAACCCTCAAGGGGCGTACAATCTAAGGTCCCTAACCCTCAAGGGGCGTACAATCTAAGGTCCCTAACCCTCAAGGGGTGTACAATCTAAGGTCCATAACTCACATTCATACATCCACATACTAGGGACAATTTAGACAGGAGCCAATTCACCTACCAGCATGTCTTTGTAGTGTGGGAGGAAACCGGAGTACCCGGAGGAAACCCACGCAGGCACAAGGAGAACATGCAAACTCCAGGCAGGTGGTGCCGTGGTTGGGATTTGAACCGGCGACCCGAGTACTGCCAGGCAGAAGTACTAACCACTTAGCCACTGTGCTGCCCTTTCGCTTTGCAGAGTGATGTTGGCCGTACACTCTAAGCACAGTCTGAAAAATGCGTTTTTAATTGTGGATGGCGTAGACAAGACATAGAAACCCCATCAGGGTGATCAACGGAGAGACTTCTCTCCACTTCCTGTCCCAGCAGGCACCAGTCACCAGAGCAGGAAATGAGGGAAAATCAAATATGGACAAGATTTTTCCACCCCCCCCCCCAGTTCCACAGTGCGGACTCACCTGGGAATGCATTGATGTCGATGACCGCATGCTGGCCCGTCTTGTTGTTGATAATGATATCGATGCCGAACAGTGAGATCCCCAGAGCTTGCCGCAGCGCTTTGGAAATGGCGCAAATGACGTCATCACTGGGCCGCTCAAATACGCCTTCTACTTTGTCCAGCTGCAGCAAAAGAGGAAAACGTTATACGGGCCATAGACATAGGAAAGGATGTGATCAGGCCTACAACTGGATCGTATGGATGGGCAGCACACTCAAAAGTGAGATTTCAGCTATGGGTGGAGGGCTGTGAGTTCATTCCCCCCCCCCCCGGATTCATAGATCTCTAGAAGACTCCCATTGACGAAATCTTTCCTTTTCAGGGTGTTCCATCTCCGCCCCCACTGCATTCTCTTACTTAGGGAAAACTGAAAGTGGATGGACATGTCCATTTTATGTTTCCCTGCCTTCCCAGTCAACCATGGACTGGCACTGACAAAGTCCTGCAGCAATAAAGTGGTAGAAGTGAACAGAGGGGCTCTGGAACCTGCAGGAATTTCTGCCTTTATGGGTTATTACAAAAATCTATTGGGTAGAGTCAGGGCCACACATACCGGGCCATGACTACTTTCAGGAGAAGGTGGAGTAATATTAAGTGACTCAGCATCCGACAGTCACCCTGACCCCTGCACTCTGTTATTACATACTGCTGATCCCTGCACTTTGTACATTACATACTCCAGACCCCTGCACTTTGTACATTACATACTCCAGACCCCTGCACTCTGTAACATTACATACTCCAGACCCCTGCACTCTGTACATTACATACTCCAGACCCCTGCACTCTGTACATTACATACTCCAGACCCCTGCACTTTGTACACTACACACGCCTAACCCCTACACTCTGTACATTACATATGCCTGACCCCTGCACTCTGCACGTTACATACTCCTGGCCCCTGCACTCTGTACATTACATACGCCTGACCCCTGCACTCTGTACATTACATACGCCTGATCCTTGCACTCTGTACGATACATACTCCTCACCCCTGCAATCTGTATGTTACATACTCCTGACCCCTGCACTCTGTATGGTACATACTCCTGACCCCTGCACTCTGTACGGTACATACTCCTGACCCCTGCACTCTGTACATTACATAATGCTGACCCCTGCACTCTGTACATTATATACTGCTGACACCTGCACTCTGTATATTACATACGCCCGACACCTGCACTCTGTATATTTCATACCATTGACCCCTGCACTCTGTACATTACATACTGCTGACCCCTGCACTCTGGAAGTTACATACGCCTGACACCTGCACTCTGTACATTACATACTGCTGACCCCTGCACTCTGTACATTACATACTCCTGACACCTGCACTCTGTACATTACATACTGCTGACCCCCTACACTCTGTACATTACATACTCCTGACACCTGCACTCTGTACATTACATACTGCTGACCCCTACACTCTGTACATTACATACTGTTGACCCCTGCACTCTGTACATTATATACTGCTGACACCTGCACTCTGTATATTACATATGCCTGACACCTGCACTCTGTATATTTCATACCATTGACCCCTGCACTCTGTACATTACATACTGCTGACCCCTGCACTCTGGAAGTTACATACGCCTGACACCTGCACTCTGTACATTACATACTGCTGACCCCTGCACTCTGTACATTACATACACCTGACCCCTGCACTCTGTACATTACATACTGCTGACCCCTGCACTCTGTACATTACATACTGCTGACCCCTGCACTCTGTACATTACATACTGCTGACCCCTGCACTCTGTACATTACATACTGCTGACCCCTGCACTCTGTACATTACATACTGCTGACCCCTGCACTCTGTACATTACATACTGCTGACCCCTGCACTCTGTACATTACATACACCTGACCCCTGCACTCTGTACATTACATACTCCTGACCCCTGCACTCTGTACATTACATACTGCTGACCCCTGCACTCTGTACATTACATACTGCTGACCCCTGCACTCTGTACATTACATACTGCTGACCCCCCTGCACTCTGTACATTACATACAACTGACCCCTGCACTCTGTACATTACATACTGCTGACCCCTGCACTCTGTACATTACATACTGCTGACCCCCTGCACTCTGTACATTACATACTGCTGACCCCTGCACTCTGTACATTACATACCATTAACCCCTACGCTCTGTACGTTATATACAGCTGACACTTAACCTTTGTACTTAGGCTTCAGGTTTCTCCCCTCCCCCACTGCTCGCATAGTTTTGCCGCACCCACAAGTCCCCATGGCGCGTTTGGCACGCTGCCTCATTATTGTCCTCTGGGTGTTCAGAGGGGCCCCCCGGGTAGACTGTACAAGGCCCCATGATTTCTAATGGCAGCTCTGGGTAGAACGAGACCCACTTGCAGTGGCAGCGGCGCGGTGTTCAGACTCGGAAAGCTCAAAGCAGGAATCTCACTATTGGGGAGTCTAAAGTGGAACCCCATGTTTTGGAACCCCCAGTCCCTGTCCTCCCTAAAGCCCCATCCTCCACCCCATACTCTAAAAACAACCCCTTATACAGACCTTACATCTAGAGTCCTCCTTCCTCTTGTCCTGAATCCCTGTTGGGCGGTCCTGGATGTTCTGTTCAGAACGGAGCCCACCTAGTGACATGCGAGTCAGTCCTGCAGGACTCTGAGCCTAGGCCAGAGTGATGATGTACCTGCAGGGGGCGGGTCCATGACAGCCTGGGCTCACAGGAAGTGGGTGAGATGAGGCCGGGTGACATTCAACCCAAATCAGGACCAGCACTGCATCTCAGAGTGACAAGTCATTATGGGACAATCCTAGAACGAGGGCGAGTCTCGCCGTGAATGCCGAATTTTTTCTTTTTTCCATTTTAGCATTTGCTACAAAATGGAATGTGAACTTGTAATTCTAGAAGTTGAGTTGTCACTCCTCAGTATTCGGGAAACACTGAAATATCAGCTTTGCATGGACTGACCTGAAGGTTCAACAAAAGAACCGTCTGAAATGTCACAATGAAAATATCACGCCGAGGATCAGGCGCTCGTCAATGAGAAGATGTCAGAATCTTCCCAGCAGTGATGGAGTCAGGGAAAGAGCAGGCAGTGACATCACACGTCTGGGACCGGGGGACCACGGCTTGACAGTCCTTACCGACACAAAGGGACATTGTGAGAGAAGGGTGTCAGATGACTCCGATCTCTCCTATAACAAAGCGGCGGTATGACAACCCCAAGACAGGGATCTGATCCCACAACACAGGCATCAGGTCAGCTGACCACACAAGGACTCAGAGGTGGTCAGGGACCCGCCCATCCTACATATCGGGGGTCTCCAAACTACGGCCCGCTACAAGATTTGATCTGTCCTGCAGCTAGAGTCAGTGATGTATCCCTAATGTGCACAGATTGAGACTGCCTGTCACCTCCATTTCAAGTCCCCACCCCCCCGACAGAAAGAAGGGACTCAGATGGAGACCCTGATATATGGGGGGACTCTGATGGAGACCCTAATGTGAAGGGGGGGTAAGCTAATGGGAACCCTGATGCAAGGAGGGACCCTGATGGGGATGCTGATAGAGACCCTCATGTAAAGGGTGAACTCTGATGGAGACCCTAATGTGAAGGGGGGGGGGAATCTAATGGCGACCATGATGTAAGAAGGGAACTCATATGTAAGGGGGGACCTCTGATTTAAGGTGGGACTTTGATGTAAGGGGACTCTGATGGAGACCCTGATGTAAGAGGGAGGGACTCTGATGGAGACCCTAATCTAAAGGGGGAGTCTAATGGGGACCCTGATGTAAGGGGATGCGACTCTGCTGGAAACCCTGATGTAAAGAGGGACTCTAATGGGGACCCTGATGTAAGGGGGGACTCCGACGGGGACCCTGATGTAAGGGGGAACTCTGATATAAGGGGGGTTCTAATGGGGACCCTGATGGGGATGCTGATAGAGACCCTGATGTATAGGGTGGACTCTGATGGAGACCCTAATGTGAAAAGGGGGAGGGAAATCTAATGGGGACCATGATGTAGGAAGGGAACTCATCTGTAAGGGGGGACCTCTGATTTAAGGTGGGACTTTGATGTAAGGGGACTCTGATGGAGACCCTGATGTAAGAGGGAGGGACTCTGAAGGAAACCCTAATCTAAAGGGGGAATCTAATGGGGACCCTGATGTAAGGGGGGATTCTGATATAAGGGGGGTTCTAATGGGGACCCTGATGCAAGGAGGGACCCTGGTGGGGATGCTGATAGAGACCCCCATGTAAAGGGTGAACTCTGATGGAGACCCTAATGTGAAGGGGGGGGGGAATCTAATGGCGACCATGATGTAAGAAGGGAACTCATATGTAAGGGGGGACCTCTGATTTAAGGTGGGACTTTGATGTAAGGGGAGGGACTCTAATGGAGACCCTAATCTAAAGGGGGAATCTAATGGGGATGCAAAAAAAGGGGTTGTGAAAAAGAGATTCACAGAAAAAGCGGCTACATTATGAACAGAATGTGATACTCAGAAAAATTTCCAAAAATTATGCTTTATTACACATACAAATTTGACATTTGGGCAATCGCCCTGGTTTACCATCACCTCAGTATGAGACAATACACACAGACCTAAAACCATATAAAATGACACCAAGACCGGTCTGAATACATGTGCAACAAGGACAATGACTACAAGAGTCTAAAGTCCCTGTAGCACTGGCGCACAGGTGAACACTTCCCACAGGAGGTGTATGCAAAAATTATACCATAAGTATACCCATGTAACATGTTATAAATGTGTAGACTGAGCTACTACCAGAATGGTTATATCCCAAACAGGGAGTTTCAAAAAATTATACTATGGATATAAGTATCACATGTATGCAATGCAGCAAGCACAGTGTGCGTCAAAAAGAAGGCATGCCTCTAGGCCAGCAATGGGCAAACTACGGCCCGGCGGACCTTTTAATCCGGCCCGCGGAGCTAGGCTCCCGCTAGGCTCCTCTCACAGTCCGCCCTGAAGATCTGTCCCCCTCGACGTATCTGCGCATGTGCCGGAGATCGCCGATCGGCTGCTAATGCCTGAAACTGGCACATGCGCAGATACGTCGAGGGGGACAGATCCTCATAGGAGACAGATTTTCCGGAGCGGCGCGGGAAGACGGCGAGAGGAACGCGCGGAGCAAAGGTAAGTGAATTGAAACGGGGGACTTAATATGGGGGATGAATTACTATATGGGGGATGAATTACTATATGGGGGATGAATTACTATATGGGGGTTGAATTACTATGGAGGATGAATTACTATGGGGGATGAATTACTATATGGGGGATGAATTACTATATGGGGGATGAATTACTATATGGGGGATGAATTACTATATGGGGGTTGAATTACTATGGGGGATGAATTACTATATGGGGGATGAATTACTATATGGGGGATGAATTACTATGGGGGATGAATTACTATATGGGGGATGAATTACTATATGGAGGATGAATTACTATATGGAGGATGAATTACTATGGGGGATGAATTACTATATGGGGGATGAATTACTATATGGGGGATGAATTACTATGGGGGATGAATTACTATATGGGGGATGTATTACTATGGGGGATGAATTACTATATGGGGGATGAATTACTATATGGGGGATGTATTACTATATGGGGGATGAATTACTATATGGGGGATGAATTACTATATGGGGGATGAATTACTATATGGGGGATGAATGAATTACTATATGGGGGATGAATTACTATATGGGGGATGTATTACTATATGGGGGATGAAGTACTATATGGGGGATTAATTACTATGCTTACTATGGGGGAATATTACTATACTTACTATGGATGGCATGGTAGTGGCTGGGCCGGCCAGCAGCTAGTCCGGCCCCCGGGTCCAATATATGAACCCATTGCGGCCCTCAAGTCAAAAAGTTTGCCCACCCCTGCTCTAGGCCTATATATTTGAGACAAAACATGAATATCATATAAATGATGCAGTACATTCCTATGCCGGCACAAGTGGTTGGGGCCCATTCATCTGTGATATTACCAGCTGTTTCCTAGGGCTCTTGAATGAGAATAAGCCCCATTTATTCCCAGGATGGAAGGATAGATGCATAAAGCAGAGCACTGCTTGAAATGGTTTCTTCACCACTACATGTGGACTACACACCACTTTCTGTAAGAAAAACAAAACACATCCCAATAGATCTTCTGCCTGTTGAAATACATGTGGTATATCTTGTTTCCTATATAAAGCACCATGATGTCCCCATCCTGTAGTGAAACAAACAATATGTGGAAAGTCACTGGCAGAGCTTACACTCTATATAGGATATATAGGTCATATAGATCACATAGGACCATATATCTAATGTCCTGCAACAGTCCACTCACCACCTGCGCAATGGATAATAGGAGAGGAAAGGATGTCCTTCATGGGTACTGCCATACAAGGCCAGGGAGGCCAAGGAACCACCGCTGACATCCGCCGATATACCGCGGGCTCCAGCCTCTTCTCGGCGCCTGTGCTGCCTAGGCTTGCCTCATGGCATGTGAAGATGGCTTCCTCCTTGTAGGTCAGCGTGCGTTCCACCTAATGCGCATGACCGGAAGTGACGTATCTGACGTATGACGTCAACGCGTTTCGCCGATGGGCGTATCTCACTCAGCTTCGTCAGGACCAAAAATCCTGTATTGCATACATGTGATACTTATATCCATAGTATAATTTTTTGAAACTCCCTGTTTGGGATATAACCATTCTGGTAGTAGCTTAGTCTACACATTTATAACATGTTACATGGTATACTTATGGTATCATTTTTGCATACACCTCCTGTGGGAAGTGTTCACCTGTGCGCCAGTGCTACAAAGACTTTAGACTCTTGTAGTCATTGTCCTTGTTGCACATGTATTCAGACCGGTCTTGGTGTGATTTTAATGGTTTTAGGTCTGTGTGTATTGTCTCATACTGAGGTGATGGTAAACCAGGGCGATTGCCCAAATGTCAAATTTGTATGTGTAATAAAGCATAATTTTTGGAAATTTTTCTGAGTATCACATTCTGTTCATAATGTAGCCGCTTTTTCTGTGAATCTCTTTTCACAACCCCTTTTTTTGCATGCCTTCTTTGGCTGCTGAATGGAGACCATTTACTGGGTGATACGATAATTTATTCTACAACCTCTTAATAACTACCTTTAACAAAGGAATCTAATGGGGACCCTGATGTAAGGGGATGGGACTCTGATGGATACCCTGATGTAAAGGGGGACCCTAATGGGGACCGTGATGTAAGGGGGACTCTGACAAGGGACCCTGATGTAAGGGGGGATTCTGATATAAGGGGGTTCTAATGGGGACCCTGATGCAAGGAGGGACCCTGATGGGGACGCTGAGAGAGACCCTGATGCAAAGGGTGGACACTGATGGAGACCCTAATGTGAAGGTGGGGGGGAGAGTAATTTGACGGGGACCCAGATGTAAGAAGGGAACTCATATGTAAGGGGGGACCTCTGATTTAATGTGGGATTTGATGTAAGAGGACTCTGATGGAGACCCTAATCTAAAGGGGGAATCTAATGGGGACCCTGAGGTAAGGGGAAAGGACTCTGGGACAGTCATGGTGTGTGGGGGGGGACAGTCATGGTGGGGGGGGGGGTCAGTCATGGTGGGGGGGGGGGACAGTCATGGTGGGACAGAGAAGGTCTTCCACTAGTTATTGTCTACACTGTCTCTGCACGATGGAGTCATTCTGCGCAGGGAGCACCTGGACCCCACCATGGAGGTTTTTCCTCATCTGACCGCACAGTGAATGTGAACGGAACGTCTCCACAATAAAACTCCAATGTGGTCCAACTGCAGCCAGGACTACCGAATGGAAAATAATGACTGAATAAGTGCCCGATGACCCCGCCCCCGAGGAGGCATCCTGCCGGCAATCACACTTACCTCCGTCAGTACCGACGAGGACTCCGGCTTCGACACGTTGTGGCTGTTGAAGAATATGGATTCTCTGTCTGCAGTAGAGAGGAGTACAGCATAAGAGGTTGGACACACACAGGCCAATCACTTCCCGCAATACTCCACCATGACATTGCCGGGGAAGAAAATACATCACAAATACAGAGGAGCTGGAGCAGCATGTTTGTTTTGCAGCACTGAGTTTCTGGGTTCAACTTCCACCAACATTCTCTGAACACAGTTCTACAGGGCCGGTGCTAGACTATCTTGTCCCCTAGGCAAGACCAGCACTAGCGCAAATCCTCTCCCCCCCAAATCCCCCCTCCTTGCATAAATCCCCTCAATCCCACCTCCTAACACAACCCCCTCCAAATCAACCTTCCCAGCACAAATATTTCCTCCCCACCCAAATTCTGCCTCCTAGCACAAATTCCCCCTCCTAGCACAAATCTCCCCTCCTGCCACAAATCCCCCCTCCTGGCACAAATCCCCCCTCCTGGCACAAATCTCCCCCTCCTAGCACAAATTCCCCCTCCTAGCACAAATCTCCCCTCCTAGCACAAATTCCCCCTCCTAGCACAAATCTCCCCTCCTAGCACAACTCCCCCCTCCTGGCACAAATTCCCCCTCCTGGCACAAATTCCCCCTCCTGGCACAAATCTCCCCCCTCCTGGCACAAATCTCCCCCCTCCTGGCGCAAATCTCCCCCCTCCTGGCGCAAATCTTCCCCCTCCTGGCACAAATCCCCCCTCCTGGCACAAATCCCCCCTCCTAGCACAAATTCCCCCTCCTAGCACAAATCCCCCCTCCTAGCACAAATCTCCGCTCCTAGCACAAATCCCCTCTCCTAGCACAAATCTCCCCTCCTAGCACAAATCCCCCCTCCTAGCACAAATCCCCCCTCCTAGCACAAATCTCCCCTCCTAGCACAAATCTCCCCTCCTAGCACAAATCCCTCCTCCTATCACATTGTGACACTGTACTACTTGTGGGGGGTGATGAAGTATTTTTTTTTTACACTGATTGCTTTTACACTCATAAAGGCTGTAAAAGCAATCATTTCTCCTTCTCTCTGGCTGCATTCTTGCAGCCATTGAGAAATACTGTGTGAGCTGTGATTGGTCACAGTTTGTCACATGGTACAAGGCTGTTGTGAATAGCCCTGTACCATGTGATCATTCACAGATTTCACACGTAGTAAGCAATGATGTCAGAAGTGACATCTTTTCTTACTACTTTGCATGTGATCACTGATTGGCCAATCAGTGATCACATGATCGGGACATCGCACAGAGGTCCCGTACGACAATCGGTGTTCCACTGTGTCTGGAGGATACAGCGGGCACCGGATCGCGGTGCTGCGCGCTCCCAGGGAGCGTGCACAAGCAGAAGGTGGGGAAGCCATTTATAAACTGCCCCCCGCCCCTGCACTGCCACTGTCCGGCCGTTTATATACAACGGCCGGACGGGAGGTGGTTAAACGCAAAAATTGAGTTCAATGGAGAATCTGCTGAAATGCGCAGTAGTGCGTTTTTGCCGCATTTTGTGTTTTGTATTTTTATTCTGCCCAGCAAAAAAACAAATCCACTTTAAAAAAAAAAAGCTGAAAAAACACAGTAAAAACACGTCAAAACCAACATCAAAACCGCGTGTAGAAAAACGCAAAACAACCTGCAAACAGCACTGGAGAAAATATCAAACGCAGAATGCGTGTATGTGAACGGAGCCCTAAAGGGGCGGAACTGCTGCGGTCACCTGATGATCCCGGAGAAAAGTTTTTCAAGGATGGCCGCTGCACAACGGTGTACGAATCGCCCACAACGAAGACTTTGTAAAGTACGGCGTTATGGCTGATGAAACTCTGGATGACGCAGGGGGGCTCTATCCTCCGAAGACCCTCCGGATTGAATATGATCGCCATCTACAGGACAGACAGGACATTGCTGTAGGACCGACAGGCATTTCAAAGGGGATGCAAAGTTTCATGTTGAATTATTGAAAGATTTTTCAAAATCGGCAAACGGAGTCACAACAAGTCCCTGAATTAGACCGGAGATCAGATTACACAGACTGCTGAATAACTCAAGGACTGTTCTCTCCCACACAGCAAACACAAACGGACTTTGCCATCTTACACAGGATGCGGACAAGCAAGCAGGTGGTGTTAGGCTTGCTCATAAGAAAGCCAAGCACCATGTGGCATCTAAGTGTCAGACGGAACCAGCGGGTAATGTTTACTGGTAACTCTTCCTGAAAAAAGTGTAACATTGTCATACAGTGGACACTGATCCTGCACTGACTACTCTGCAGGCGTGATGACTTCATCAAGAGGGGCGGTAACAGGATAGCTGTACTGGGGGAAGAGCAATACTGGGGGGGGAGGGGTACATACTTTGATGGAGAGCTGTACTGAGGGAAGAGCTGCATAAGGGGGGGGTATGTACTGTGTTGGAGAGCTGTACTGGGGGGGGGGCGTACTTTGTTGGAGAGCTGTACTGAGGGAAGAGCTGTACTGGGGGGGGGGGGGGGGTATGTACTGTGTAGGAGAGCTGTACTGGGGGGAGAGCTGTACTGGGGGGGGGGGGTATGTACTTTGTTGGAGAACTGTACTGAGGGAAGAGCTGTACTTGGGGGGGGGGGGGGGGGGAGGGTATTTAATGTGTTGGAGAGCTGTGCTGGGGGGAGAGCTGTACTTGGGGGGGGGGGTACGTACCTTGTTGGAGAGCTGTACTGAGATAACAGGTGTACTTGGGGGGGGGGGGGGTATTTACTGTGCTGGAGAGCTGTACTGGGGGGAGAGCTGTACGTGGGGGGGGGGGTATGTACTTTGTTGGAGAGCTGTACTGAGGGAGGAGCTGTACTGGGGGGGTATGTACTTTGTTGGAGAGCTGTACTAGGGGGAGAGCTGTACTGGGGGGGGTACATACTTTGTCGGAGAGCTGTACTAGGGGGGGGTACATACTTTGTTGGAGAGCTGTACTGAGGGAAGAGCTGTACTGGGGGGGGGGGTATTTACTGTGTTGGAGAGCTGTACTTGGGGGGGGGGGGGGGTAAGTACCTTGTTGGAGAGCTGTACTGAGGGAAGAGCTGTACTTGGGGGGGGGGGGGGGGTACGTACTTTGTCGGAGAGCTGTACTGGGGGGGGGTATTTACTGTGCTGGAGAGCTGTACTGGGGGGAGAGCTGAACGTGGGGGGGGGGGTATGTACTTTGTTGGAGAGCTGTACTGAGGGAGGAGCTGTACTGGGGGGGTATGTACTTTGTTGGAGAGCTGTACTAGGGGGAGAGCTGTACTAGGGGGGGGGGGGGTACATACTTTGTCGGAGAGCTGTACTGGGGGGGGGGGGGTACATACTTTGTCGGAGAGCTGTACTGAGGGAAGAGCTGTACTGGGGACTGGGGGGGGGGGGGGGGGGGTATTTACTGTGTTGGAGAGCTGTACTGGGGGGAGAGCTGTACTTGGGGGGGGGGGGGGGGGGGGGGTATGTACTGTGTTGGAGAGCTGTACTGGGGGGAGAGCTGTACTGGGGAGGGAGTACGTACCTTGTTGGAGAACTGTGCTAAGGGAAGAGCTGGACTTGGGGGGGTATTTACTGTGTTGGAGAGCTGTACTTGGGGGGGGGGTAAGTACCTTGTTGGAGAGCTGTACTGAGGGAAGAGCTGTACTTGGGGGGGGGGGGGGGGGGGTACGTACTTTGTCGGAGAGCTGTACTGGGGGGGGGGTATTTACTGTGTTGGAGAGCTGTACTGGGGGAAGAGCTGTACTTGGGGGGGGGGGTACGTACTTTGTCGGAGAGCTGTACTGGGGGGGGTACATACTTTGTTGGAGAGCTGTACTGGGGGGAAAAGCTTGTACTGGGGGGGGGGGGGGTACGTATTTTGTTGGAGAGCTGTACTGAGGGAGAGAGCAGTGGTACTGTGGGGAGAGCTTTACTTGGGGGGAGGGGAGAGCTGTAATGGGATGGAGAGCGTTACTGGAAGGAGAGGGTGTTACTGGAAGGAGAGGGTGTTACTGGGGGGGGGGAGAGCTGTACCAGGGGAAGAGCTGTACCGGGGGGGGGGGGGGAGAGCATTACAGGGGGGGAGCATTACTGGGGGGAGAGTGCTATCTGGGGGGGAGAGCAGAACTGGGGGGGGGGGAGCAGTGCTGAGGGGGAGGGAGCAGTGTTGAGGGGGAGAGCAGAGCAAGAAAGAATGGCGAATGAAATAGGGGGCTTAGCGAGTGAGAGGGGGATACGGAGAGTTAGAAGGTTGCACAGTGAGAGAGAAGAGGCAGAATGAGCATGAGGATGGCACAGAGAGGGACAGAAGGGCAATGAAAGCGACATAGGGGCAATACACACAATCCACATAGCAATGGAAGCCCAGTGAGAGAATACAGGAGCCCCTCTGCAGAGACCCCCCAGCCGTGCACGCGCGCTCACCTCGTGGGAATTGGTGCCATGGGCTACTCTGGTCTTGCAGACTGTAAAGACAGAAGAGAGGTGTAAGATCGCCACCTAGTGGACGGTTTAATGACATACAGGTATGGTATCACCGCAAAATTTACATTATTTTTTTTTCTGCTCCAAAAACTCATAAAACTCCAAAGGTGACCTCTACAGGAAGAAGGGGAGACGCGCAGCACTGCGTTCTCAGAGTCCCATCGTTTTCCTATAAAGTCGACAAAGGCCATTTATTGCACATTTATCACATTACGTACTAAAGGGGAAGGCCAGTCCGTTCTTCTCGATGAGCTTCAGCGTGTCGTCTCCACATTCTGTAGAAAGTTCCATGAAGGGCGGAGAACATAACCTCTCATCTGTAAAACAACGAGACACAAGCCGTCATTATTACACAGATCCATCTCCTGGCATGATAGTAAATGTCGGATGGGCAACATACACTTCTATAGACAATCAATACTTAGTTATTATCTGCAGCCTTCCATCTGACCAATCACAAAGGCCCAACAGCACTGCCTATAGAGGCCAGACCATACAAGCTCAGACATTCGGATATTTTGTAATAAATCCTGTTACTTGCCCAGACTGACCTCCAGCCATCAAGGCATTTTGATATTTGCATAACTCCTCCCAAAAAAGCCAGCCCACTGCTTGCATCAGGACTGAGAGCTCTGCAGAGGAGGACTGAGAGGTCTTCAGAGGAGGACTGAGAGGTCTTCAGAGGAGGACTGAGAGCTCTGCAGAGGAGGACTGAGAGCTCTGCAGAGGAGGACTAAGAGCTCTGCAGAGGAGGACTAAGAGCTCTGCAGAGGAGGACTGAGAGCTCTGCTGAGGAGGACTGAGAGCTCTGCAGAGGAGGACTGAGAGGTCTGCAGAGGAGGACTGAGAGCTCTGCTGAGGAGGACTGAGAGCTCTGCAGAGGAGGACTGAGAGCTCTGCAGAGGAGGACTGAGAGCTCTTCAGAGGAGGTCTGAAGAGCTCTGCAGAGGAGGACTGAGAGCTCTGCAGAGGAGGACTGAGAGCTCTACAGAGGAGGACTGAGAGCTCTGCTGAGGAGGACTGAGAGCTCTGCAGAGGAGGACTGAGAGCTCTACAGAGGAGGACTGAGGCAGGGTGCTGTGATGCTTTTCAGGAAGTGATGTACAGCACCCTGCTGGCTCCTCCCACCAGTCATGATCTGCCTGCATTGCGTAAAGAAGTGCAGAGACCTAGTGATGATCTCAATGGGCCTATAATAAGGTATGTAATGAAAACAGAAAGGTTATATATAAAAATTTCATTTCACAGATTATCTGAGAAAAAAAAATCCTTGTATATTTATATATTCGAATACCCACTAGGTCACTGACAATATTTATATACAGCAGGGAAAAGAATGATTTGATCCCCTGCAGATTTTATAAGATTGCCCACTTACAAAGAAATGAAGGGTCTATCATTTTTTATCACAGGTGTATTTTAAATGGTAGAGACAGAATATCAACCAAAAATCCAGAAAAAGCACACAATACAAATGTGATAAATGGAGTTGCAGTTCAGTGAGTATAATAAGTATTTGATCCAAAGCAAAACATGGCTTAGTACTTGGTGGAGGAACCCTTGTTGGGAAGCACGGAGGTGAGACGTTTCTTGTCGTTGGTTCCCAGGTTTGCAGACATCTCAGGAGGGATTCTGGTCCACTCTTCTTTACAGATCTTCTCTAAATCCTTAAGGTTTCTTGGCTGTCGCTTGGCGACTCGAAGTTTCATCATCTCCTCTATAAATTTCCCATAGGAATAAGGTCTGGAGACTGGCTAGGCCACTCCACAGGGGCAGACTGACCATTTGGAAACTCGGGCACTGCTCGAGGGCCCGGGGTCGGTAGGGGGCCCATGAGATGCCCCTGGTACCTTTTTCATAGGCTTTTTTGAGTTTGGGCAAGGACACAGGTGCCCCATGATCCCCTATTGCCCAGGGGCCCCATGAGTTGTCAGTCCGCCCCTGCCACTCCATGACCTTAATGTGCTTCTTCTCGAGCCACTCCTTTGTTGCCTTGGCGGTATGTTTTGGGTCATTGTAATGCTGGAAGATCCATCCACCACCCATCTTCAGTGTTCTCATCCACGATTTTACAGTACGTGGCCCCGTCCATTGGTCCCTCAACGCAGTAAAGTCGGCCTGTACCTTTAGCAGAGAAACAGCCCCAAAGCGTAATGTTTCCACCTCCGTGCTTGACTGTAGGGATGGTGTTCTTAGGGTCATAGTCAGAATTCAAAGAGCTCAATTTTGGTCTCATCTGACCACAGCACTTTCTCCCAGTCCTTCTCTGAATCATTTAGATGTTCATTGGCAAACTTCATATGGGCCTCTACATGTGCCTTCATGAAGAGGGGGACCTTGCGGGAGCTGCAGGATTTCAATCCATGGCGGCATATTGTGTTACCAATGGTTTCTTTGGTGACTGTGGTCTCAGCTGCAATTCACAAGCTTTTCCCATGTAGTTTTGGGCTGATCCCTCACTTTTTTCATGATCATCCTCACCCCATGAGGTGAAATGTGGAATGGATCTCCAGACCGAGGGCGATCGTATATATTTCTTCCATTTGCGAATAATCACTCCATCAGTTGTCTCCTTCTCACCAAGCTTCTTGCTGATGGTCTTGCAGCCCAGTCCAGCCTTGTGCAGGTCTACAATCTTGTCCCTGATGTCCTTTGACAGCTCTTTAGTCTTGCCCATGGTGGGTGGTGAGGTTTGAATGGAAGAAAGCGATTCTGTGGACAGGTGTCTTTTATACACATAACGAGCTGTCGTTAGAAGCGCCTTCTTAAATTGACAGGACTAATCTGTGTACCACATGAGCACATAGCCAGTCTGTGGGAGCCAGAATCATTGTTGGTTGGTAAGGGATCAAACACTTATTTTACTCACTGAACTGCAGCTCCATTTATAACATTTGTATCATGTTTTTCTGTTTTTTTGGTTGATGTTCTGTCCAGGGGCGTACTGACAACTCATGGGGTCCCCGGGCAATAGGGGATCATGGGGACCCTGTGTCCTTTCCCAAACTAAAAAAAGCCTATGAAAAAGGTACCAGGGGCATCTCATGGGGCCCCCTACTGACCCCGGGCCCTCGTTTCCAAATGGTCAGTCCGCCCTTCCACATACCAGCTGAAATAAGGCTTACAGTAGAGGCCTGCTGAGTAATCTAATGGGTGGGGGAGCCCCCCTCCGGGGTTGGCATCAGCAGAGAGCAGGAAGGAGGTGGGGCAGTGACACGGCTGCAACACTGATGGCTCTGAAAGCTTTTGCACCCTCTCTGCATACTGCATGGCTGGGAAGCTGGCTGACAAATAGACAGATTACTAATCTGATCCTTTGGCTGATACAATCTCTCCTACAAGTGTTATTAATAGGAAATGAGTTATCAGACTGGAGTTCCCCTTTAAGTCCTTACCTCTCTGTGGCTTTGCTATCTGTGACCTGATAACATCGTTAAGCTCAGTAATAATAATAATCCCATTAATGGTGATAAGTGATGTACAGGACAGAACTGAACCATCACTATAAACAGATCGTCAGTCGCTAACATTTCACAATCCTGCGAATTGACAGGCGCGGCGTCTGCTGCTGCGTCAGAGCCATGATATCGCTCAGAGTTTAATGTGAAAGGTTCTCCAGGGAACTCCGGAGATCCTGCAATTTGGCAGGACAGCTGATAAGGATGAACGGGATGGGAGGAGAGCGGTCAAATATAATAAAACAATGACAGTCTATTCATATCACCAAATACAACAGAAACAGATCATTCATACTCATCATCTCTACTACAGAAAATGGGAAAAATGTAGAAAAAAACACAACTGAATATTATAGAAAGCTGAACTAAAAGTCCAGGACAATGGCATTCAACTACTAGGCTGTGGCCTCCTCCTTCCAAGCCTCAAGCCAGCTGCAAATACCCTAACCTCCTACAGTACCTCCTAGCTCCAATAGGGCCCCCCAACCTCCCACAGTAGGCCACAGTGCCTCACAACCTCCCACAATACCTCCTAGCTCCCATTGGGCCCCCCAAACTCCCATAGTAGGCCCTAGTGCCTCAACTTCCCACAGTACCTCCCAGCTCCCATAGGACCCCTCAACTTCCTATAGTGGCACATAGGGCCCCTTAACCCCCCACAGTGCCTCCCAGCTCCCATAGTGCCCCCCAAACCTCCCATAGTAGGTCACAGTGCCTCACAACCTCCCACAGTACCTCCCAGCCCCCATAGGGCCCTCAACCTCTCATAGTAGTCCATAGTGCCTCAACTTCCTACAGTATCTCCCAGCGGGCCCCCCAAACTCCCATAGTAGTGCCTCAACTTCCCACAGTACCTCCCAGCTCCCATAGGACCCCTCAACTTCCCATAGTGGCACATAGTGCCCTTAACTCCGCACAGTGCCTCCCCGCTCCCATAGGGCCCCCAAACCTCCCATAGTAGGCCGCAGTACCCCTCAACCTCCTACAGCTCCCCCAATCTCCCATAGTGGCCATCAGTGCCTCCCAGCTCCCATGGGGCCTCCAACCTCCCACAATGCCTCCTAGCTCCTTTAGGTCCCCCCAACCTCCCATACTGGGCCATAGTGCCTCACAACCTCCCACAGTACCTCCCAGCTAACCATAGGGTCCACAACCTCCCATAGTAGACCACAGTGCCTCACAACCTCCCACAGTACCTCATAGTTCCCATAGGGCCCCCCAACCTCCCATAGTGACCCACAGTGCCCCTTAACCCCCCACAGTGCCTCCCAGCTCCCATAGGACCCCCGAACCTCCCATAGTAATCCACAGTGCCCCTCAACCTCCTACAGGCCCCCCAACCTCCCATAGTGGCCCGCAGTGCTTTCCAGCTCCAATAGGGCTCCCAACCTCCCACAATGCCTCCCAGCTCCTTTGGGTCCCCCCAACCTCCCATAGTGGGCCACAGTGACCCTCAAACTCCCACAGTGCCTCACAGCTCTCATAGGGTCCCCCAACCTCCCATAGTACCCCTCAAGCTCCCTTAGCACCCACAGTAGTCTCTACCCTCGCACACTTCCTTCCTAGTTTGCTGAAAAGCCTCCAGCCTCCACATCATAGATGGTCATCACAGGGTACTGAGCTGCTCAGATTGGCTCTGTACACTGCATCTGAATGCATGCATGGGAGTGAGGTCATCTCAGCCCAGCCAATCAAAACAGCAGAAGATTGGTACCCAGAAGAAGACCAGCAAGAAAGACTGGCAAGGAAGCTCCAGGATGCTGCAGTGCTTGTGTGGAGGTATTTTTCTGGGCAGCCATATTAACCAATAGAGAGGTGCAGCAAGAGGCTGGCTCATACCTGACTTTGAAGTGGAGTTAGCCTGCCTGAGGTGCCAAGTAATCTATCCATGTAATACTTCTAGGTATGTATCACCTCTCACAGAGACAATGCCTTCATCTGCTTTTCAGGACAGCGCCACCTTTGCTCAGGCATCATCCAGAGTCACCATCTACTTCCTAGACTGAGATGCCGGCTCAGAGATGATACAAGCATGTAAATCCTGGTGCTTGATGACATCATCCCTGCCTAGGCAAAGGAGTTTAAGGATGGCTTCTTTGTGTCACCACTGCTTCTCCTGGCTACGTTCCTACATATAGGGGGACATACGTAGCCACCCTCTAACAGGAAGTCAGATCACAGCAGCAAAAAAAAAGGAAATTTGTAGATCTGGAGGAAGCTGACAGCAATAGAAGGGACTTTGTTGGACGTATAGAACATCGAATATTGAAATAGAATTGTTTTCCTTTTTTTTAATCAGAATTTAATGTTCCAGAATCACTAAAATGAGAGATCTCTAGTGCTGTACAATGGTGCCACCTAGTGGAGAAATATGGCACTGCTTTTTTTTTTTTTTTTACAATTTGAGACAGTATAACTAAGCAGGTCATGGTGATAAGAGACTCACATGTCCTAATCCGATACATATCCCAAAATTAGGGGATTATTCCTAATTCTAAGACTGTGGGCGGAGTCATACAAATCATTCCTTTATACCCTGAAAGCCAATGGACATCCAGAATGTCTGATCCATTGCTCCCAACTGTCCCTGATTTCGAGGGACTGTCCCTGATTTGGAACAAAGTCCCTCTGTGCCACTTTACTCCTCATTTGTCCCTCATTTTGTTCTGTTCCATATAGTTGTATATAAAATGCACTATTTATCTTTCAAAAAGTGTTAAACCTTTAAATTTCAAAAGGAGCTGTTCCAGGCTTTTCAAGCATCATCAGTGCAGTGGAGGAAATGGGTTGGTAGTGCTGGGACCAGGGGCATATTTACTAGTTCCCAAGGATGTCCAGAGTTGTGAAGGTGAGTGACTTTCTCTCCGGGGGGGGGGGGGGGGGGGGGGGAACAGGGCTGTATTTACCACAATGCAAACAAAGCATTTGCCTAGGGCGGCATCTTTCAGGGGGGTAGCACTGGCAAGGCAGAGGACAGGGGTCACTGCTGGCAAGGCAGAGGACAGGGGTCACTGCTGGCAAGGCAGAGGACAGGGGTCACTGCTGGCAAGGCAGAGGACAGGGGTCACAACTGGCAGGGCAGAGGAAAGGGGTCACAACTGGCAGGGCAGAGGATGGGAGTCACTGATGGTAGGGCAGAGGATGTGAGTCACTGCTGCAGAGCAGAGGACAGGGGTCAACTGGCAGGGCACAGGACAGGGGTCAACTGGCAGGGCACAGGACAGGGGTCAACTGGCAGGGCAAAGGACAGGGGTCAACTGGCAGGGCAAAGGACAGGGGTCACAACTGGCAGGGTAAAGGACAGGGGTCACAACTGGCAGAGTAAAGGAGAGGGGTCACAACTGGCAGGGCAGAGGAGAGGGGTCACAACTGGCAGGGCAGAGGTCATAAATGGTAGGGCAGAGGACGGGGGTCACTGCTGGCAGGGCAGAGGACAGGGGTTCACTACTGGCAGGGCAGAGGACAGGGGTCACTGCTGGCAGGGCAGAGGACAGGGGTCACTGCTGGCAGGGCAGAGGACAGGGGTCAATGCTGGCAGGGCAGAGGTCACTGATGGCAGGGCAGAGGACAGGGGTCACTGATGGCAGGGCAAAGGACAGGGGTCACAACTGGCAGAGTAAAGGACAGAGGTCACAACTGGCAGGGCAGAGGACAGAGGTCATAAATGGTAGGGCAGAGGACAGGGGTTGCTGCTGGCAGGGCAGAGGACAGAGGTCATAAATGGTAGGGCAGAGGACTGGGGTTGCTGCTGGCAGGGCAAAGGACAGGGGTCACAACTGGCAGAGTAAAGGACAGAGGTCACAACTGGCAGGGCAGAGGACAGAGGTCATAAATGGTAGGGCAGAGGACAGGGGTTGCTGCTGGCAGGGCAGAGGACAGAGGTCATAAATGGTAGGGCAGAGGACAGGGGTTGCTGCTGGCAGGGCAGAGGACAGGGGTCAATGCTGGCAGGGCAGAGGACAGGGGTCACTGCTGGCAGGGCAGAGGACAGGGGTCACTGCTGGCAGGGCAGAGGACAGGGGTCACTGCTGGCAGGGCACTCAGCAGAGCAGCTTCTCCCATCCCTGCACTGTACACAGCCTGGGCATAGGCAGCAGAGCTCCTCCTCCCCACAAAAATAGCTTTTGCTTTTGGAGGGGGGCACAGCTAAAATCTGGGGGGGGCATAACCCCCCCAGCACCCCCTTAGATCCAGCCATGCTTTTTACTTTCTTTGTTTTCATTTGAGCTGCTGCTTCACTGTCGGTTCAGTGCAATTTATCAATACACAACCAGCAGTGAGACTCGCCACCGCCATTCAGATCTTGAATCCTCTGGTATTCTGCTGGAAGCTTCAGAACCTGACAAGTGCCATTCCTACACCCACTCACTTTTCAGCCGTCCCCGGAGATCAGAGAGAGGAAAAACGCAGCCGACAGAATCAGGCCGCACCACGCTACTGCTGATCAGGCTACGTCGGGTTACAATCTGCAAAATGAGAATTCAGCTCCAGTCTAGATGATAAAAATGTCCTACAATATGTAAGGGCAGAGAGACTAAGATCTCATAATATAATCTGAGGGAATTGTGCACACTCCCTGCTGCGTTACAAGAGAGCGCTGCCATACGTTGGCTGCAGGGGCAGACTGACCATTTGGAAACTCGGGGGCACTGCCCAAGGGCCTGGGGTCAGTAGAGGTGGATGGGACTGGCTCAGTGTTCCCTGTACAGCACCACGGTATATGTCAGAGCTATATAGAAGTATTATCATTATAATGCATGACTGGAAGGGGGCAATAGAGAGTTAGCTCCTCTGGTGCAGAGACTGATGTGATTGGCCCTTTCAGCTCAGGTGTTTCTGTCTGAGGACACGCCTCCTTGCGGTGTGAAGCGCGTTGTGACCGAACGGGATTCTTGTTCTCAGCAGGAAAAACCAGAAACTAAACATTTCTGCAGAAACAGAAGAGAATTGAAGAACGCACAGCCAGCATTGATCTCCTTCACAGACATACCTGAGCGCTGCAAACCATCCCGACCACGTGCGCCATTTCTGGAATGTAAATCGATTACACGGGGGCCATACACCAAATGATTCCATGTCATCCCCAACAGTCCCTCAACGTGTCCCACACACACAGGGCTTTGCTTTGCCTTAGATCAGAACGTTTAGTCTGGATTTTATTGCTGGATCACCTGAATTATTTTTAGTTTAGTGCTGAATTTTTAATCACTTGTTAGTAAGAGATTTACCCCTTGCTGGCCAAGAGTAGACTGAGGACATACTGTGTGTGCAGGGTGTATGGGATCCACCCCTGAGGGGCCATCACAGCGCCCTGCACTCACCGCGCAGCTTTTGTTTTCCAGGTTCAATGAACAAGAGTAGACTGAGGACATACTCTTAGTGCAAGGTGTACGGGATCCACCCCTGAGGGGCCATCACAGTGCTCTGCACTCACCATGCAGCTTTTGTTTTCCAGGTTCAATGAACAAGAGTAGACTGAGAACATACTGTGTGTGCAAGGTGTAGAGGATCCAGCCCTGAGGGGCCATCACAGTGCTCTGCACTCACCATGCAGCCTTGGTTTTCAAGGTTCAATGAACAAGTGTAGATGGAGGACATACTGTAAGTGCAAGGTGTACGGGATCCACCCCCCTGAGGGGCCATCACAGTGCTCTGCACTCACCATGCAGCCTTGGTTTTCAAGGTTCAATGAACAAGTGTAGACGGAGGACATACTGGGAGTGCAGGGACTATTAGGGCCATCACTAATGTGCCCCACAGTTGCCATGCATAATTAGTCTTCCACGTTCAATGATCAATGGAAGACTTAGGACATACTGTGAGTGCAGGGCATTTTGGGCCCTCTGAGGGCCCATCACTACCACGTCCTTCACTTACCATGTGTACTCAAGTCCTCCAGGTTCAATGTTTAAGAGCAGAGTGAGGACATACTGTGAGTGCAGGGTGTCTTGGAGCCATTACTAATATGCCCCACACTTACCATGCACATTCAGTCTACCATGATCAATGACCAGGAGAAGACTTAAGATATACTGTGAGTGCAGGGCATCTTGGCCCATTCGAGTGGCCATCACTACCATGCCCTGCTGTTACTATGCATACTTAGTCTTCTAGGTTCAATAATCAGGAGTAGACTGAGGATTTACTGTGAGTGCAGGGCATTTCTGACCTGCCCCATGTAGCCATCACTACCATGGCCTACACTTGCCATGCATACTCAGTCTTCCAGGTTCACTAATCAAGAGTAGACTGAGGATATACTGTGAGTGCAGGGCATCTCAGACCCGCCCCTGTGTAGCCATCACTACCATGGCCTACACTTACCATGCATACTCAGTCTTCCAGGTTCACTAATCAAGAGTAGACTGAGGATATACTGTGAGTTCAGGACATCTCAGACCCGCCCCAGTGGGGCCATCACTACCATGGCCTACACTTACCATGCATATGCAGTCTTCCAGGTTCACTAATCAAGAGTAGATTGAGGAAATACTGTGAGTGCAGGGCATCTCAGACCCGCCCCAGTGGGGCCATCACTACCATGCCCTGCACTTACCATGTATACTCAGTCTTCCAGGTTCACTAATCAAGAGTAGACTGAGGATATACTGTGAGTGCAGGGCATCTCAGTCCCAGTGCTGAGGGGCCATCACTACTTTGCCCTGCAGTCACTTTGCACCCAGGATCTCCCAGATTCAATGTCCAAGAATAGACTGAAGACATAATGTGAGTGCAGGATGTCTTGGATCCTCCCCTGTGGGGCCATCACCACCATGGGTCAGCCCCACTTTCTATATAAATTGAGGCCCACTAACCACCAGAGAAGCAGAAGGGGGCCCTGAGCATCATGCGACCAGCCTAAAGAAATGAAAACTAAAGGTTTTGGCTGGACATTTCATGAGAATCTAAAGCAGCAATGAATGGGTTAAATAAGTAGTGCACCCCCCCTCCCCTAACAGGCACACATACCGGACTCCAAAGCTGCAGATCTGCATGACACTTGCATGCCGCTACCTGTCTGTTTATTCTCTTGCAGAATTCTGTCCCAGAAAGCAGCATGGCGGGATTCCTCTGCCTCTTTCCTTTGTGGCATTTCTCTGCGAGCCCTCCAGCTATACAAACTGTATTGCTGAGTAATGCAAACAAGCCTCGTGCCTCGACACGGCGATCCTTCACACCGCAACGCTTCACCCGCCTGCGCAACGTTCAATGTCAGCTCAGCCATCTCTGCAGACAGAGAGTTCAATAATATATACTATACGGCTTGGTGTTAAGGTGGGCCTCCGCCTGGGAATCGGACTACCTCTCCTTTGACTTATCCTCCCCCCCCCTTACATATATACTGTATAGAATTTTTATTTTTTTTTTATTTTTCAATACTCAACTTACTTCCTATATCCTCCTGACCATATAGGGCAAGACCAACATACAGTTGTGTTCAAAATAATAGCAGAGTGTTGAAAAAAGTGAATAAAGCTGAAAATCCTTCTAATAGCTTTTCTTTCCATCCACACAAATGCATTGGGAACACGACACATTCTATTCCAAATCACAACATGAAGAAAAATACATCAGATTTGTGTTGTTCCTCTAAACAAATTTAAGAAAAGTGAATATTAGACGGTTCAAAAAATCGCAGTGTTTGTATTCTTCTTTACAAACTCAAACATTCACTATATAAACTGAGAAATGTTTGAAGATTTTGCTTTCCTTTGAATGACTTCATGAATATTTGGTTGTAGTCGCACTGTTTCTGAGAACTGCTGTACATCTGTGTTGCATGGAGTCACCCAACTTCTGGCCCCTGTGATCAGGTATTCCAGCCCAGGATGATTGGACCACATTCCACAGTTCTTCTCTATTTCTTGGTTTTGCCTCAGAAACGACATTTTTGATGTCACCCCACAAGTTTTCTATTGGATGAAGATCCGGGATTGGGCTGGCCACTCCATAACGTCCATCTTGTTGGTCTGGAACCAAGATGTTGCACGTTTACTGGTGTGTTTGGGGTCGTTGTCTTGTTGGAACACCCATTTCAAGGGCATTTCCTCTTCAGCATAAGGCAGCATGACCTCTTCAAGTATTCTGATGTATTCAAACTGATCCATGATCCCTGGTATGCGATAAATAGGCCCAACACTGTAGTATGAGAAACACCCCCATATCATGATGCTTGCACCACCATGCTTCACTGTCTTCACTGTGTACTGTGGCTTGAATTCAGTGTTTGGGGGTTGTCTGACAAACTGTCTCCGCCCACTAGACCCAAAAAGAACAATCTTACTTCCATCAGTCCACAAAATGTTGCGTCATTTCTCTTTAGGCCGGTCAATGTGCTCTTTGGCAGATTGTAACCTCTTCAGCACGTCTTTTTCCCAACAGTGGGACTTTGCGGGGACTTCTTGCAGATAGCTTGGCTTCACATAGGCGTCTTCTA